TTTTGCTTCAATTGTCTCCATAATTATAAGACTTGAAAATATTTCATGGTAAGCTAAAGCTCGCATTTTAAAAAAGCTCATTTGAACCAAAAGCTCATATGAAGCAAAAGTTCGCATATTGCAATATAGCTCGTGTGAATCTTTAACTCGTATGGACCAACAACTTGCATTCTTTGAGTAACAAGTGAAAATTTTTCCGTATTATTTTTTAGATGAGGAGGAACAAGATGGTCAGCAATCGTCAAAAGGTTTGAATGAAACGGAGGAGGAAATGCCTCAAGAAACAGTTGAAGAAACCAAAGAACAAGACAGCATTAGTTTACATAGTACGCCTAGTTTACGATTTGAACCTGTCGAAGAACACGAACCAGGTAACTATGTGTTAGAAATCAATTGAGATTAATAATTTGTTGTCACAGCCTGCTGCCATTTACGTGTTTAATTTACTTTAGTTTATTAGAAAGGCGTAGCAAAACGTATAATTGATATATGCGTTTGAAAAACTCAATCTGAAGTGAACAGCGACGTCATGTAACATTTCTTGAAACTGCTTATGTTCTAAAAATTTACATTTTTTGCAATGTTTGAAACAATAATGTTGTTAATTGTTACTAATAGAACTAATAATGTTACTAATTAGTAATTATTACTACTTCTCCTGTTAACATTTATTTTTCATAAAAAATAGCACTAACTTAAGAAACTCATTTTTGTTTTATTTTTTTGCATTCGTTGCTTATTTTATTATATTGTAGAAGACCTCTAATAAGATAAACAAGTCCTTTTTTTGGGATATTCAAAAGTTTATTTTTACCAACAATTGAAAAAATCGTCTGAGCGTGAATACTGAAATGTTCAACCAACACCCGAGTGACATTTTTAATTTTTTCATGTATGTACTTTAACGTCGTAAAATCATCTCATTATTTTAGTTGTGCAGACGGAGAGGATGCTGTTCAATTCATTGATCATAAAGTGTTTCGTTTAATTGGAACTTATCCAAATGATCGACAATGTCGTCTTTTTCCCAAGCACCAGCAAGCGAGAAGATGAAGATACTATGGCTGAATTACAGGTCAGTTTTAATTACGGTCATTGTAGGTAATACTGAGATAAATTGCTTGGTTGTAATGTTGTTATACCAGAGTTCCCCTTGGTAGCATAACAAAGCTCTTAGCTGAGGCACAGAATATGTTATATACAGAAAAGACACTTGGCATCTTTAGTTGTTAGGAATAAATTTAATCAATGAAAAAGTTTGTCAAGCAAAATGTGCCAGGATTGTTACCATTGCACTTGACTGTATACAAGTAAGTTGTTTTTGTTTGATGTGTTAGGACACTTGGAGTCTTAAGTTGTAAGATATAGATTTAATCTCGGAAACATTGTCATTGCTTTGTCTCTAAGCCATTACAATTGGATAGCACAAAATAGAGTTGCTAAAGAACATCTTTTTGTTAGTTACCTCCCAAATTCCTCCCAGAATAATCTAGAGGATCCATACTTCAAAAATTTGTCATTATTGCTATCCTTATCTATCCACAGTACTTACTCATATCCAATCCTCCAAGTTCCCATGTGTCTTTTCACCAGAATCCTTTATCCCTCCATATATCTATGTAGGTCGTGTATTCATCTTATATAAACTTCTATATTTCATATTCTTTGTTCTTAGAAACTCATTGCTTATGGTCATATTGTTCGCGATACACCAGACTCCATTGAACCAGAGAGGCGTTTAATTGACAGAATTATCCTATTTGTACTAGCTTTTCTGGTATAAATACTGATGTAAACGTTCAAACACAAATTATAAAGATATTTATAAAAGTAATCTCAAAATGTTAAAGTATTTAATGAGGGAAATGATATAACCTTGAGGAATTTAAAGAGGGTAATGACATATGTATCCCTATGTTTTTTACATTTTTTGTCTAATTTTTTATTATTTTTAATATTACGTCACCTACACCAGATATAACATAAAGTTCACAAAAATATTCTCGTACTATATTGAACTTGCAGGAACGATGTCTCTTTCAAGGGAAAGAGCTATATTTTATATAAATATAGGAAAAAATATGCTAGGAAGACAATTTGAGCTTTTATAAAAACAGGACATTAATTTAATTTTCAAAGCCTTTATCAAACTTTCTATTTTATGAAGTTATTATAAATTACTTACAAAAATCATCACAGAAAAGAGTATCGAACCATGTATCAAAACCGTATGAGATACATACCCATATTTTTCAAGGAGTTTAATGAAGTTAATCATGTATTGAATCAAAAGGTTTTGTCAAATTTTCGTAGATTCTTTACAATACGACAATAACAAATTGAAGGTCTGTTATGCCGATCGGTGCACAGTACCTATTACATCAATACATCTCTTGATCTTTGACCCTGGAATTTCGGAAAAATAGTTTGACCATTTCCATTTGGACAATTTTTGGCCTTTATTCTCTTCAAATTTTTTTTAAAATTTATACTGGAGCCTGTTGCACGAAGCGTGGATAGCGTTATCCATTGGATAGTAGTTTTTTAAATTTATACTGTAGCCTGTTGCACGAAGCGTGGATAGCGTTATCCATTGGATAGTAGTTTTTTAAATTTATAATGGAGCCTGTTGCATGAAGCGTGGATAGCGTTATCCATTGGATAGTAGTTTTTAAAATTTATACTGGAGCCTGTTGCACGAAGCGTGGATAGCGTTATCCATTGGATAGTAGTTTTTAAATTTATACTGGAGCCTGTTGCACGAAGCGTGGATAGCGTTATCCATTGGATAGTAGTTTTTTAAATTTATACTGGAGCCTGTTGCATGAAGCGTGGATAGCGTTATCCATTGGATAGTAGTTTTTTAAATTTATACTGGGGCCTGTTGCATGAAGCGTGGATAGCGTTATTCATTGGATAGTAGTTTTTTAAATTTATACTGGAGTCTGTTGCACGAAGCGTGGATAGCGTTATCCATTGGATAGTAGTTTTTAAAATTTATACTGGAGTCTGTTGCACGAAGCGTGGATAGCGTTATCCATTGGATAGTAGTTTTTAAAATTTATACTGTAGTCTGTTGCATGAAGCGTGGATAGCGTTATCCATTGGATAGTAGTTTTTTAAATTTATACTGGAGTCTGTTGCACGAAGCGTGGATAGCGTTATCCATTGGATAGTAGTTTTTTAAATTTGTGAATGTGCATGGTTATATTTTGTTTATGATGATGAAATTTTGTAATTCTAGAACCAATATTGTATTTCATTTATTGTCCAGTTCGAATCGTTGATTTTTCCCTTTTAAGATATTTTTGAAGCACTCAAAAACGTTGCTACTCAGTTCAATGGATAGCGTTATTCGACCTTCGTGCAACTGATCTCTTTTCTGGTAATTTATTGGTAAAGTTTCTGCAAAAATATAAATCTGGTGAGAACCATATATGGACAATGAACATGATTATTGTCTACTCTTCAGCTGTACAAGTTACAAGTGCGGAAGTAAATCAGAATGATCTCGTGATGAGACCATCCCTTTCATTTGAATAATGTGTACATTACAATACGATGAAAGACAAAATTGAAGAAATATTTCAATATAAAACTGTGACTCTACGTTGTGGAACGAAATAATAAGTGTGGAAATGAAGAAATAGTCGCTTTGGTCATATTTGGTGAGTAAAATTGTGTAAAACATTGATTTTAAAGCGGTATTGTTTAGCCACTCGTTGTATTGTAAGGTTTGACTAAATGGCAGAATACTCGTCAACTCGGATTCATTGACTGTGTATCCACATTTCAGTAGATACACAGATGATATTATACCGTATATAAGACGATTCTAACTTCTGAGAAAAGAAAAATCAACGTGAAACGAAACTATAAGATAAATAGCTCTACATCTATTGGACAATACGATAATATATATTTATGCTTAGTATATCAAATTGCGTTTCATCATATAAACACAAATGATCTGTTTATCAACCAAAATGACTATATTTTATTATTTAAATCAACCAGAAACGATTTGCATCAATTATACATTACCACATTGATAGGTAAGTATAGATTTATAGTGCCATTGTCGCACAACCAAAGCGTTCTGTTGTGCGGCTTGCTAAATCACGATTCTTTTGACGACAAACGTTGGTTCATTACCACGAGTATTAAAATCAAAAAAGGCTTATCCAATTCGTCTCTTCAAGACTTCAACTCAATGCGTTACAATGCATTAACCAAATGCGTCGATAAAATGCGACCATCAAAAATGCGTATTGAAACAACCGGAAACAGCGTTTGCAGCCTCTGTATATACTAAACATTCAACAATATAAAATTACAAAGTTTCCTCTTTACCACGATTGGAAAGAAGGTCTTCCTCAGCAACTCAATGCTTTAAACTTCCCATGACAAATGCATGTGCGTAATTTAATGTAAATAGTTCCCATTTTACCATGCTCTTACTTCTTTAGTAATGTTCATGCTTACAGAATGAGAAAGATACTTCACTTGTTTTTATTATGTATGAAAATTTCTTCCGGCATACTATTTTATACTGATAAGTTTTACATCGTCCATATTGTTATTGATAAATTGATAAATATTACGACAAGCAGGTCACGTTGCAAGAAAAACTGTCTGTTGCTCATTTCTTTTGCTGTTTTTCAGTTTTTACAATTTTTATGAGCACAAAACGGTTAAAGCCACAAAGATATTCAACATAATTTATGTATTTTTTTTAATGATCCTTTTATTCATTTGAAAATGACTGACTCAAGTACTACCAACTGTTGTCTGACTATAGCTTCTGATCTTTGGTTTGGAAATTCAAACTTTGACGAAAAATGGCCATTTGGATCGATATTTAGATACATTTTGCCTATTTTCTACTCTAATAATTTTTTTGAATGATATTGGTAATTTATTATAAAAGTCTATGTAAAAACATAAATCTGGTGAGAACCATATATGGACAATGAACAAGATTATTGTCTACATTTCAGCTGTATCCAGTTACAAGTGCGGAAGTGAATCAGAATGATCTCGTGATGAACCCATCCTTTACATTTCAATGATGTGTACATTACAATACAAAGAAAGGCAAAATTGAAGAAATATTTCAATATAAAACTGTGACTGTACGTTGTGGAACGAAATAATTAGTGTGGAAATGAAGAAATAGTCGTTTTGGTCATATTTGGTGAGTAAAATTGTGTAAAACATTGATTTTAAAGCGGTATTGTTTAGCTGCTCGTTGTATTGTATCAAAGTTTTGACTAAATGGCAGAATACTCGTCTACTTGGAGTCATTGACTGTTCATCCACATTTCAGTAGATACACATGTAAGGTTTGACTAAATGGCAGAATACTCGTCCACTTGGATTCATTGACAGTTCATCAACATTTTCAGTAGATACACAGATACACATGTAAGGTTTGACTAAATGGCAGAATACTCGTCCACTTGGATTCATTGACAGTTCATCAACATTTTCAGTAGATACACAGATACACATGTAAGGTTTGACTAAATGGCAGAATACCCGTCCACTTGGATTCCTTGACTGTTCATCCACATTTTCAGCAGATACACAGATACACAAAGCATATATTATACTATATTTAATACATTACAAGATGATTCTAACTTCCGAGAAAATAAAAATGAGCGTTAAACGAAACTATAAAGGCTGAAACACACTAGGCTTTAGTCGCTCGTCTAAAACTACCGCTTTGCGTGGTTACTAAGCTAGTAGCGTAGTCGCGTCATCTAGTCGCTTTGAAAGTTCAACATGTTGAACTTTTGACATTAGTCGCTTTAGTCGCTCTACACTGATTGGCCAATAGATACATTTTAACTTCCTAAATGCATGTCATATTCCCTGTCATAAGCATCATACGGAATTTATAGATTATGCCTTGGAAAACGAAGGCAATATATAGTGAATTCACACTAGAACCTTTCAGTTTTTATATGACTTATCAAATAGGGACAATAGGAGCTACAAACTGGAACCCTAATGCACAAGCTAAATGCACAGAATAAAATTGTCCACGATATACGCGTAATGGGCTTTGATCATATTGGCGTATTTTAACTGGCTTGTTCTCTTTTCTCCACATAGTAGTTAGTACTGAGTAAATATTCTTATATTGGTAGCTATAATAAAGGCCGGAATAAAAAGCTTAAGTTATGTCTGTGTGTGTAACAAACAGAAATCTTTGCCATTTTCAATAGACGTCACGGTAAACCGTTTGTCTGGCTTTCAAGCGACTGAAGCGTGAGCATCAATTCGCTTTGGACCCGCGACTGAAGCAACTGCCTAGTGTGTTTCAAAGCTAAGTGGCGCTATGTATCATTGGATAATACGATAATATATATTTATGCCTGGTTTAGTAAATTTGTATCATCTTGTTAACACGAATGATCTATTTTCGTATCAAAACGACTATATGATAATATTTATATCAACCGCGAACGATTTGCATCAATTGTACATTACCACAATAATAAGTAAATGAAAATTTAAAACGCAATCGCACACGCAGTACTCTCATGATAATGCACAATTAAATTTATTTAAATGGATAAAATTTTTTGACAAAAAACTGTCCGTTTTCCTTTTCTTTTGCTGTTTTAATAATCCTTTTATTCGTTTAAAAATGCCTGACATGGAAGTCGACTAATTCACTGATTTGAAGAATCACAGGATTTTTTATCAAAGAGGAATCAAGTTAGAAAGAAAAACGCTTGGGTTTCTTACACATAAGATATTTATTTGTTTTGAATAAAAGTGCGGTTTTTATCTTTAAACAGCAACTTGTGTCAATCGCTTCGTTTGATGTCATTTGATAAATTTTTAAACATTTGCTGCATGAAATTAGAAAATCAGTTCGATTTTGACGAACAGCTTATTTTGTTCACATTGTCACATTCAACATATGAACATCATGTAGCTAGACCAAAAGAATTTATGTAAATATATGCATACCTAGAATGTTGCTTTTTGTTAAATCTATTGTGTCAAATCTATTTTTTATTGTGTCAAGTCGTTTATATTACTGGATGCTGAATTCCATGATGTACTATCAACTACTGGGTCTTGTTACTGAGAAGAGTGAACGTATTTTTTAACGAATAAAAAAAACAAAAGGATTATTTGTAAAATTACTTGCAATACAACTTGTTCATCAATCCATTTAATTTTGTGCTCATTTTGTACATTGCAAATTAATGCTTTTTGCACAAACTCGTTCTTCATTACTAGCTTGAAAAATGGCTTCACCACCTAAAAAACTGAAGTTTGAGGAAAACGGATCTCGTTTAAGTAAACTTTTAATAAATAAAGGAAAACAAGCCTTGACACATACATTGCAATCTTTATTAAAGCCATCAAGTTTAGCTGGTAAACTTAAAGATCCCTCTACAAAGACGACACTAACATCTTTGAAATTTAAAGTTATCAAGAATGAGCAATGGGATCTTCTTTACCCATCAACTGGCTCACCAGACATTAAAAAGTTTGACATCACATTATTGACTGTCTTATTGCGTAGCATATGTGGTCTAACAGCGCCACATAGTGGATGGAATAATCTTCCTTCCTCTTCAGATACTTCAAACTCAGCAAATATTGCAAGAATAAAGTTTTATCGAAACAAAGTGTATGGTCACATAACTACAACTAGTGTAAATGACAGTGAGTTTGAGCATTTGTGGCAGGAAATTTCAAAAGCATTGGTTGGTTTGGGTATTCAACAAACTGAAATAGATGAATTAAAGAAAGCTCCCCTCAGTGCCGATGAGGCAAATTATATTGAAATGTTAAAAGAATGGTATGAAGAAGACCGAAAGTTAATCGATGTTGCTGAGAAAACCAACGAAAATGTAAAAGAATTAATAAAAAACGTTGAAGCTATGAATAATAAATTAGAAAAAATCGAAGAAAGCATGCCAAAAAAAGTTGATGTAGTAGAAATTAAACAAGATATGGCAACAAAAGCTGATGTAACCAGAAAGAGAGAAATGAAACAGGACAAAATATGTTCTGATCTCGAGAAGCTTGGAAAGTGTAAGTTTGATGGTTTTATAAAAGATCTTAACAAGAAATACCTTGAAGACACTAGACAATGGTTATTTGAAGAACTCGACACTTGGTTTAACAATGAAAGTGAAGATGCTTCTAATGTCATGATTTTGATTGCTGGTCCTGGCGTTGGTAAAAGTGTGTTTGCTGCTGAGTTGTGTCGACGATATTCTGAAAAGAAGAAACTTGCTGCTTGTCATTTCTGCAGATATAATATATCAAATTATAGAAATCCTCGAATATTGATAGAATCATTGGCTAGTAGCATGTGTGATACAATATCAAATTTTAAATCTAAACTGAATAAAGAATTACAGAGAAATCATTCCAAAGAATCGATCACCGATGAATTCATTGTTTTATTAAATAATCCATTGCATTCATTGGAAGATTATGAACCAATGCTTTTGGTTATTGATGCCTTAGATGAAAGCCAAATTGATGGCAAAAGTGAATTGTTGGAATTGATTTCAGAAGAGTTTGACCGACTGCCTAAATGGATTAAAATCTTCATCACCAGTCGTCCAGAACTTCCTGTTCAAAAGGCGTTGAAAGACATGAATCCTGTGGAAATTACAACTCGTCCTCGTGATGAAAACAACGAACAAGACCTGCACAAGTATTTGAGACATCAGTTGAATGATCAGGTGCAGGAAGATCCCTACGTTCTACTTTCATTAGTTGAAAAATGTGAGGGATCATTTCTTTACGCTTATCACGCACAACTGAGCTTAAAGAAAGAAGAAATTGAGCTTACAGACGAGAATATTAAACAATTGGTCCCTAGTGGGTTAAGCGGTGTTTACACAAAGCAATTAAAAACAGTAAAAAAATTGCTGACAGAGAAAAGTCTTTCAACCGGAAATTCAGTTATTTCCAAAGTTATTTTTAAGCAGTTTCTTGAATTGTTGGCTGCCTGTCGGGAGTTTTTACCATTAACTTTACTGTTTAACTATTTAGGTTTTTCTGGTGACATCATGTTTGAAGTCCGCAGTAAAATCATTGAACTGTTATCTCAAATTTTGCCAGTTTACGATGATTGTTTAACCGTGTATCACAAAACTCTAATTGATTGGTTAAAATCGGATGGTTATGAAGAGCATGAGTTTACAGTTAGTCCAAAAAATGGTCATAAGTTCTTATGGCATGCTTGTGAGAAAGTGTTTGAACAAATTAAGTCGATGAACATTTTTGAAGATCAGATGAACACTGCTATGATTAAATATGCTTTGAAGAATGGAATCTATCATATGTCAAAATGTGGCGAAAATGTTGACTTTAGCTGGGCAGTAGATGTCAAAGTGGTTTGTGCGAGGTTAATGCATGGGGAAGACAAAAACATGTTTTATACCATTACGTGTGAATTGCTTGAATTCATTAAGAGAAAACGACATTTCTTGAGAAAAGATGTACTTGATGAACAACTATTTCATTTATTTACGACAAGAAGATGTAGGTCATGGTTAGATGGTAGCTTATCTTATTTACAAACTATTGCAAACGGAATTGATAGCAATAACAAAAGAAGATTATTGGCAAGGGATTTATTGAAACAAGGAAAGTTTGTTTGGTTTGAGGATTTAGACTCCACATATTTAACAAACCATCATCATTTGACTGTCTCCTTGCGTGCTAACGTTACATCTCTTTGTGTGTCGTCCAATAAAGAACGTCTTGCTGTAGGATATGAAAATGGTCAAATATCTATTTTTGAGCTTCCAGAATTCGAACAACAGTTCACTCTTGGTACTGCACTTGATAATTTAAGGTTGGATAACTGGAATGATGTAGAAACATTGATATGCCGGTATGACTATCCAACATTAGAGGAATTAGGTTTTGTACGTGGAAACATCTGTTGTTGCTCCTTTTCACCTACCGGAAATAGACTGGTAACTAGTGATGGATCTACTGAAGTAAAGCTGTGGGACGTTAACAATGGACGTTCGTTTCGTTTAGAGTCAGATGATATCGTTAATCGTTGTTCTTTCTTAGATTCTGGTTTGTTCATTACAGCAGACTATGTAAAAGATTACGAAGAACTTCCTAAAGATGTGTTCACTGCATGGAATTCAGTAACTTTGCAAAGAATTGATCGACGCTGCGTTGGTGATTACCAAAAACTACAATGCACCGATAAATGTTCAGAGTTCTTTGTTGCAGAATTCGTCGAGACTTTGTGTGATTTTCAATTCCCAAAGGCAATCGATATTTTTTCAAGAGAATATTACGATACACTACGTTCAGATTTAATGATAACACACCATTATCGTGATTGTATTTTTTATCATACAAGCCAGAATGGAAAGCTTTCTGAAATTACTCAGTTGAAAACGTGCAACGATCAAGAAGAAATCCTGTTTCATTTACCACATGTTAGGTGTCCATGTTTTTATAGGAATCTTGAAAAAGTCCATCCAATCTCGTTCAAGGATTTTTACGTTGTGCCGTATTTTTCCAAGCTTAAAATTTTCAAAACTCATCCCCTATGGAGACCTTCATTTTTTTTTGAGAAGTATATAATTCAATGTTGTTGTTTTTCACCGGATGGATCTTTTTTTGCTGCTTTCGCTGTTGGTGACCACGTCAACATTCATATTTGGAGCATTGAACATTGCACTATTATTCAAACTGTACCAATGCAATTGAAGGATGCATTAGGATGTTGGTGGTCGGATGGTTTACTGTGGATATGGGATGGTTCTCGTCATCTTACGAAGATATCCACTTCGTCTGAAAATTTTGTAGATTCTACTCAAGCAAAGTATGTTAACATTGGATTTAAACCTAAGGAAATCTTAACATTTGGTGATGTCTTAGTTTGTATTGACGAAGAAAAGTTTGTTCAAGTCGTTAGAATTACCAAGGGTGCGATACAATACAACAAAAGACTTCCTGTCTATAGTTCAAAATTTAAAGCAGCAGCTGTATCACCTGATAATTCTGTTATTTTAACTGTAAACAAAACAGAATACACGTTATGGAAATGGGGAAATAACAACAATGAACTTTATTTGAAACCTTGGCATACTGCAGAAATACCCATAACAGCTGTCATTGAAAAATTTCTTCCACAACTGATAACTGTAAATGATCTAGAGTTCAACTGCTGTATAAGTGATAATAAACATGCAGCCATAACATTTTCCGAAGGCTTCAAAAATATGGGCATTTATGTAATTAATGTTCATGAGAATGGTGATGTGAATGCGACTTTGCATGATGTCAGTAAATATTTATTTCTCTACGACCTAATCATACACAAATCATATTGCATTGGGGAGTCTCTTGAGTCATTGGTTGCTGTAGATTTAAAGAGTGATGAAGTATGCGCTGAATTTGGCGAACAACACTCTATGCCTCATATAACTATGCATTCCAATACAGGAACTTTAGCTATTGTTGACAGCTTAAATTGCGAAATTCACTTTTTAAAACTTAATGTTCCTGAATAAATACATCAATTCAAACTTTAATACTAAATTCAAAAACCTTTTGAGAAAATTGCACTTAGATGTTGATGGTCGTAAGGATGATTGCTTGTTTCCACCAACTATAGTTTTCTACAGAAGAAGTTTACTTATTGTACAAGGCAATCTTTAAGAAATTATCTATATTTACCAAAAATAAATTTGGATCAATTTTGCAGAAGATCTTTTAAACTTATCAGTACTATTTTTTGGAATGTCTTACCTCCTGCTATTAAAGAATGTAAAATATTATCTATGTTTTGCAATAATCTGAAACGATGTATAATTGCTTTTTATAACACAAATGACTTGTATTTAAAAAGAGCGCATCTATAAAAATTGATCATTAATATTTGTTTATTCCTTTCTAAGATTCAACTTGTAATCTTCATAAATGAATTGTCATTTAAACAGGGCATCCTCTAGATTTGACTACTACTGTAAGATGCTCTGTCAAACTTATTAGTATGTATTGTATCTCTGAACAAATGTCATGTTGATGATTTACTTTTTAATAAAAATGTATGGTTAAATAATTTGGTTATTTTTATTTAACAATAACCGTTGTCTATACAGTTATAGATATACGGGTATGACGTCATTGTGATAAAAACTGAGTGGCTACGAGCCGCCGGGCAAACCTATGTTTGAAAATCGGATTTTTTCTTTTATTTTTGCTCAAATACGTCCAATGCTTCAACTAGGTATTCTTAATTTCTTTATTTGCCCATTCAGGGATATATTCAGGTAAATATTCAAATAAATTCTCCGTTCGTTTGTCATTTAAAAACCAGGAATTTTCTGTGACCTCAATTCCGTGCGTCTGTCCTCTTATAGATCATAGATCTCGAGTAATGAAATTGTTCAAATTCTTCCGGTTATTTTATAATATTATAAATAAGACGTTCACTACATAAATATGAAAGAATGTCGACACCTCATTCATTGTGAGTCATGTAATAATATGGTGTTGTAGATGAAGATTATTTTGTTTAAACTATAGAGTGACTTTCTTCAGACATGCTTTCAAGAACTGTAAATAGAATTTAAAGTGCTACTGAAGTGAAATCTTGGGTATCGATTTTTTTCTATAATCAAATAGTTCTATCTTTCCTGATCACTTTGGTATAGTTTTTATGCATATTGAAGCACGGGATCATCAAATTTTTGCTCAAAGTTGGGTTACGCCACAGAATAGATATATACAGAAGCGCCACTCGATGTCGGAACCTTTGATGTTCGTGTCCCCAGCATCCGGGCAACTTTACATGGCGGCCATGTTTCCAGCCAGATAAATGCAGCCAGATCGCAATATAAAATATAGTTCTACGGATGGGTTTTGGCAAATAAACCCAAATATTTCTATAGATTGGCCATTTTTTTAATATTTTTTTGTGTGGATACAGTTAACACATCAAGCTCTCAACAATTTATCATTAATTCGACGTCCGTTTTGATAATGAGGGTTTATTCGGAATATTTACAAAGTAGATATGTATCTGACGAGATGAGTACTCGTTATATGGTTTGTCGTCAGTTTTAATTTTATCATATAAGAATTCTGCAGAGAATCTTGAAGACATTTGTTCTAACATTTGAAATCTCGGTCGTGGCTGAAACAAGTGACAAATCAAATTATCCTCCAGTTTGTTTATATATTGCAAACAACGTTTGGCATGACATTCGAATCACCAAAATTGTCTACCCAGGTGTTTTAAACTATCAGAAGCGATGCTGCATGGCCACTATGAAAGTCATCTGATGCCAAAATATTTTGTATTCATCACAGTTGTGACTTGTGAAGCTTGAATGACTTTTTGAGCAAGTTGGAACATAAGCAGCAGCATGTTGGCCTCCACCAATAAAGTGCTTGAATAGCAATTTGTAAAACATATACTGCCATATGGTCGACATGACTTAACTTTGTTATTTCTGCCTTTTTAAATTCAATCAGGAGATTATTTATATATTTGACATGGATGCTTATTGATGATGTGAGAAGTGAACATAAAAAAGCTTCCTGAATGCTTTTGTGAATTGGATTGGTGTTGGCTTGGCGCAGTTTCCCCCCTGTCAAATGTTTTCTGGTGTATCTGTGTTTCACCTTTTGGTAAACATTTTACTGTGTAAAGTATTACAATATAAATAATGGCATTAAGAGTAACTATAACTGGTTTTTGTCAGAATAAGTTCTGTTTGTGACATGATTACTTACAATAAAAATTTTAATTTACTGAATGAAGTTTATGGATTTTAGCAAAAATTAAATTTTCGAGCCCTTTGTTGCAATAATTTCTCTCTGCTGGTTGATCAATGCGGTGAATCAAACATAATTCTAATCATTTTTCACATACAATTGTTGGTCACAACTCACAAGTGAAGTTTAACCAAAGAGCCAAAGAGGTAAGCTGTAGAAGCTTGACAATATGTTTGACATAATGGTAAAGTTGTTAATTTAATTGTAACAATTTATCAATAACTTCATTCTTTAAAAAATTGTAACTTCATATATTGTTTATTAAAAATAAGACAACAAAAAACATCTTTATTTGTAAGTTAATACAAATTTGACAGACAGATAGCCATAGGAACTCAATATACAAATACAAATAAAAACTTTCAATTACAATTATGCAGACAAGCTACATTGCAAATAAAAAGCCCCGATTCAAGAATCAAATATAAATTAGTTTAGTCCAAATTTTATACTAATAACGTCTTCATCTGAAGAACGTTCTTCACGCACAGTAGGTCGTTTTATCGCTTCTATCAAATCCGTTGACCATTCTAATAGGAAACTCTTTACTAGAAAATACAGAAATGGAATCACACTAAACATATTTATTACTTTTGTCCTAAATTATAAATTCTTAGGGCAACTGCCGTTCAATATAAGAGACTTTCTAAACATGGATCTCGCATATAATTCAAGGCAAGAAACTATAAAACCCGTAAAATTATATTTGACGAACGTATTTTACAGCAAAACTGTCTCTCACCTCATATGCTTGGTATCCTATCCGCTGGCATTAAAAATTTTGTCCATAAGTGAATTTAAATTCGTCAAATTTTCGAAAAACAACTCTTCATAATGTTAATCTATATACATTCTGGCCAGTTTATCTGGCAGGAGTAATGGCGGACGCAAAAGATGCGCACTTAAGAGCTGGGTACAAGCATTGAGTTCTATAATAACTGGAGCGGCTATCTCAACGCGGCCTTAGATATCTGATGATGCCAAAAAAATGGCAGATTTCGTCCGTTGCCGCTGAGACTACCGAAATTGACCGCTTTTCCGAAAATTTCACAATTTCCCACTCCCTCCTGAGGAAAGAGTGAGGAAAATGTATGTGTGTAGTATTTGGGATTCGGCAAGCAATTTTTCGATGAAAATCACGATAAAAACCGGCAATTCGTAACAGCGAGTCAACTGTGGTTGTCAGTTATCTGCTCCTACGAGGATGCATTTATAACTATCGACGAAAGACCTATATGTCGGCTACACATGTATGAATGCAGATGTGCGTCGTTTTCTTACCAGCGTCAAACTTGTTTGATCGATTAAACTCTTTACTCTATACAAAAAAGTATATCATAGTTCATCTCCACAGTGGTTCACGAGAGAGAAGTTAGCTTATTTGTTATCATTGCTATTTTGCTACTTTTCATGCAATGGGCAATGGCTTTTTTCGCCACAATTGTAGGATTTTTACTTGTTTCTTTAAAAAAGTACATATTAAATCTCTGGATATTTACGGATTTTCTGTAATTGAGTTTCATATGAAATTTCAAAAACACTCAAGATTGCATAGGTTTGGTAAATGAAAACAAACAATATTGTATAGAAATTATTTTAAGTGATCTTTTTGTGATGTTCTGAAGTGCAAGTGCATCAAATACTTGTAAAGTTGTAGCACATTTTGATTTTGTTGTATTAATATATGAATTGGGCAAAATGCAAATAATTATCAAAACACTTATGCTTCCAATGGTGCTTATAATTCATTTGTAGTTTTAATACTTCTACCTTTCTTTTTTGCTTTGTTTTGTTTTTCCTATATTTGCAATAAAAGTGCACTATAATTTGAATGATTAACACAGTTTTCACCTCAATAATAAATTTCATAAGCAGTTGTTAGTGCATTTTGTTCTCTGAGTATCCACATTTGGTGTTTTCTTCATACAAGAATGATGAAGTGCAAGTGGATATGTCATAGCAAGGCAATAAAACCAAATGAATTACATACCTATAGTGTACTTTTATGCTAGAAGCTTAGAAGCTTTTTAGAAATTAGAATATTATTGTATTATATTTCCTCTATATCATCAATCTCATGATAAAAAATAAGAAGCAAAAAATTTGTAGAAAAGCTTTGAAAAGTGAAAAACTTTTCTTTAAAAAAGTAGCAATAATGCATATGATAAATCTCCATTCTGTACTCTAATAGGAAAATAAGCTCAAACTGTTTCTTGAAGCAAAAACTGTAATAATGAAGAAATATACAGTACAGTAACTTTAAAAGTTTCATCACTGAATCTTTAATGCTTCAGTATAGTGCATTAGATATTAGTAACATTCAAACAACACTCAACTAAAATATTTTGATAAAGATCAAACTGTTTCTTGAAGCAAAAACTATGATTTAAAGCTCATCAAGATATGACATGATTTAAACATTAAGTTATATAAAACCCAATGGCTTATACAGTTTGAAGCTTCACCTCTGCATCAACTCATCATCAATCTCAGTACAAATGTTTACATCGACACAAACTTTATGGCCTTCCATTGTACATGTTTGTGAATTGACATTTCATTAAGCATCAAAACACACACAACCTTCTTGCCATCTTTCTTTGGATCATGAACTTTAACTTCAAAGCATTCAAGGAATCCTTAGTGAATCCATTGTGTCCATCCATAGAATTTGACCATGATCAAATTAAATAACTCTGGATAGGGCAGACAATAAATCAATTATCTT